TCGGTCTTCCTTATTCATCATCCAAGTGGTCAGTGCTCTAGATCACTCAAATTTCAAAAATTTGGGTCTAGATCAGTTTTGCTTCATCAGCTGTGACAGATGAAGTTTGAAATAGTTCAAAGCTGTGAAAAATACAACTATAATGAAAGACAATAAAAGGCTGAAGAACTGTTCCAGATTAAAGGAGAGAAAATTGTATAACAACTTAATGCAATCTGTGGTCCAGAATTGGGGGAAAAAAATAGTTACTATGAAAAATAATTCTGGAACAACTGGCAAATTTTAAACATGAATTATATATTATATATTATATCATGATCAATATTGTTGTTAGTTGCCATCATGGCAGCCTGATGTGTACAGAGTAGAACTGCACTCCACAGGGTTGTCACGTCTGTGACCCTTCAGAAGCTAATCACCAGGCCTTAGTTACTTTCAAGGTGCCTCTGGGTGATTTGAAACACCAAGTTTTCACTAAGTAATCCAGCACTTAACCACCCAGGACTCCATTATCAATGTTAAATATCTTGAATTTGATAATAGCCCCATGATCATGTAAGAAGTTGACCTTGTTCTTAAAAGATATATGCCAAATATTTAGGGATAGAGAGATAAAGACATGTGATCTCTGCATGTTTTACTTAAATGGTACAGCAAAAAAAAAAAAAAAAAATTAGAGTGAGAATAACATGAAAGATAAAAAGAAAATGTTGCAAAAAAGAAAATGTTGCAAAATATTAACAATGACTGAGTCTAGATGAAAGCTGTATTGGAATTTATGGCAACATTTTTGTAAATTTTCTGTGTTTTAATATTCTCAAAATAAACAGTTAATGGAAAAATATTTTATCAAGCATCTCTATTTGTTAAGTGGGCATGGAGTTTTTCCAGTATTCAGTCTACCATTTTAATTAGAAAGCCATTGATTTATTATACACAGATGTCTCTCCTTATGTACATACCATTTACTTGGCTAATTTAATGAAGATAAAACCCAGACTATTGAAAAGGAGGGACAGATGCTACTAGCAAAAAGAGATCAGGAAAATATGTTAACTGAGCATTAATATTACAGATTTACTGGCAATCAAAGGAAAGGAGGATAGGGAATATTTCTTCATTATGACTCTGATTCACATAAGAATTGTAAATACATATATGAAGATATTAAAATTTTCTCACATAAGCAATCAAAACTCATTATTTCAGATTCCAGAATATAAAATGATATGACAAATAAAGAATAAACCTTATTTTAAATTTATCTAAACTACAAAGAGAACATTGTAGGAGTAAGTATGTTCAAAGACAATCTGCATATTGGTTAGTCAATTTACTTGAGCTCTGGTGGCGTAGTGCCTAAAGCATTTGACTGCTAACCAGAAGGTTGGTGATTCTAACCCACAAGCCATTCCTCAGAAGGAAGATTGGGCAATCTACTTCTGTAGAGATACCGTGTCAGGAACCCAAGGAAGGGTCACTATGAGTTGGAAAGGACTCGACTGCAGTGAGTTTGGTTTGTTGTTTTTTTAATCCAGGGATGGCATTGTGGAGTAGGGGGTGGTGTGGGCAGATAGGCTTGAAAAGCCATAGTCACTTAACCCATGTGTTATGATGGAGGATGTGTTATTGAACGATAACTCTAAAGTGGGCTCACTTGGGTAATAGCTTCCCCTGGAGAAATGTAGGTAAATGCATAAAAATCTCCACTCCTGGCACCGTCACTGGGAGAATGCTCCTGTGACTGACTCATCCCAATCTAGGCCATGAAGACAATGTTTCAAGCAGGTAAGTAAGTTATTTATTCATGTGGCATCAACTTTTAGGGAAGAAAGAACAAAAGTACTCCATCCAGGCTAGAGGGTTATGGGACTAAGGTGGGTATTTAAGAACTTTCCTTTGTCTGGGGTTAAGTAGGCAGAATGAGAGAGACCAGAGTCACAAATATGGGTGGTCCTAGTTGAATGGAAAGTAGTTTCTGGGAGGGGAGTATGATGAGGGGCTCTGGAAGTCTTCGTAGCTCTAAGTGTGCCAAGGACCTCTGAGTCTCTCCAGAGCAGGTCCTGCTTTAGCCCTAGGTCCTGACTACTGTAATATATATATACAGTTGTTTCTTTAATCCCATCTGATATTTGTGTGTGCTAGATTCTGGAAAGGGAAAATGAAAAACAAGTTTCAGAACTCAATGAGCTCACAATGAATTAAATAGTAATATTCATGTTTAGACTCCTTATTAAAGCAGAGGAAAAGAATGACTTTGGCGATTGGTGTACCAGGTGCATTCCTGACATATTGGGCAAGTGGTCAGCAAGCCTTGAATAGGACCAATTCTCTCAGTAGCACAAAGCAGATAGATAGAAGTGACTTCTCTGGGATGCTGAAAGTACTTCTATTTCATCACCCTTCATAAGGACAACCTTCATGAGGCACTTGAGATGTTTTTTGTTTTGTTTTGTTTTGTTTTTCCCTCCTGGATGACCTTGACTTAGACAATCAGCCATGGTAGTACAGGCAACTTCTCCCATTGTTCACCCCTAATCTCCAACCTCACTGGCCTCACCTCTCTGCCTCCCAAAAGAATAGTCCCTTTTGTTACCCCGAAACCTTTCCGCACCCACTGACATCTGCAAGCTAGTCCTCTTCCTGCTTCTCTTTTCACTTTTTTAAGAATTATTTTACTTCATCTTCTTTTTTTTCTATTTCTTCATCAGGTGGTGCATACAGTTGGCCCTCAGCCCTCTATGACATTTTCACATTGGTTTTAATTTCTTCCACCTCTTCCAGGATGATAGTTTGCTCACAGGAGCATACAATCTCACAGTGTCTGTATAGCCATTGACTGATCAAATGGTAGTTAATATCCACACTAGGACATCAGCAACTAGTCCTCACCCAAAAACCAAAGTCCCAGCTCAAGCCTCTCCTGGTTCTCCTGTCAAAAGACCTTATTGTTAGTACAGTTTCAGCCATTACTTAGAGGGATACTATAGACTCCCAAATAGGAGTGGATAGATTTTCCTCCTCCAGATATTGAAACTGAGATGAGAGTAGGATTGAACCTGAAGATGATGGAACTAAGGATTGTGTATACTTGCTGTGCATGAGGTCTTGAGTCAACACTGAACAAATGAAAAGATGCTGGCATTTGTTCTCTGTGCTTCCTCAGACCTTGGGTCCCTGAACTTGCTGGCTCTGAATTTTTCACTACCTGGATTCTGCACCAAGTTCATCTACTGAGAATGGGAATGAGAATGTTAAATTTAACACCAAGTTGAAAAGAGTGCAAGAGAGGATAAAGCCTAGAGCATAATTTTTCACCCTCAGCACTATTGACATTTTGGATCAAATAAATCTTTGTTGTGAGGACTGTCCTGTGCATTGTAGCATGTTGAGCACTATCCCTGGTCTCTGCCCACTAGATACCAGTAGCAACCACTGCCCAGTTGTGACAACCAATATGTCTCCAGACCTTGCCAAATGACCCTCAAGGGGTAAATTTGCCCAGGTTTGAGAGCCACTGACCTAGATTTTGGCCTAGAGAGTGAAAAAGCATTCATTTGATATATAATGTTACATGCTTTTCCAGGGAAATAATGAGCCCTCTGGTTATTTAACTGCCAGGCTTTCTAGAACCTGAGCAAGTTTGACTTATTTCTCTCCATAAGTTATTTGGTTTGGATCCACCTGTTACACTCTCAGCACCTGAGCCCCTTGCCTCCTATAGCACTATAGAGGGCAGAGTGTTTTCTTCTTAGCTTTCAGCTGGCCTGGATGCAAGGGTGCACAATTCTTTAATGGCTTTACCAGAATTTTATTACTACTGGCTACAGAGACATAGAAAAGGGAATTTTAATTATAAATCATTTCAAAGCCCTTGTGGTACTAAATCTACTCTGCATTCAAGGGTAAAAAACGATAGAGAATTGCTGCTGCTCAAGGCCTCCCTCTACCCTGCCTCTTACATCCATTCAAAGGCATTGGTAAGTTTACTCAGTCCAGTAAAGTCTCCTGTCTTCAGCCCATTTCACAGGCCAGAAAAGGATGTACACTGCAGTCAAAGAAGCTTGAAATCCAAGCTCTATTCCTTACCAACTATGACAACTTTTCTGAGCTTCAACTTCCAATTCTGAAATATTGGCGAAGATGATACCTACTGCCCTAGGTTGTTATGAGTAATTAATGAGGAGCCATAAGTAAAGTTTTTACCTCAGTGCCTGGGATAAAATAGGTACTTTAAAAAGTTGCTTTGTCAGTTCTATTTTACTGTGAAAATTTTATATCAATACATCATTTTATTCTACTAAGATTACAGATAAGATTTTAGATGATTTCTCCCTTCCAATTCATTTTCCAACTACTTCCAGATTAATGCAGCTAATGGTCTCCAGTTTCATAACTCATGATGGCTGATCAACTTTTTCAAGATTGCATCCCAGCTCCTTAATTTTTAATCAGAGTCAATATACGTTTATTTTAGTCTTTTCTGCCATTGCATAGTATATGCATTCTCACAACCAACAGGGCTGGAAACTGTTTTAAATGCTTTAAATTTTGTGTGGCAACAGTTTTTCCTTAAATTCCCAAATGACTTCACTCCATTTTCCATCTAATTCACCTCCACCCAAAGGCATCCTACAGCCAAACAGACTGAATTATGTCTCCCATTACGTTCCCATTGTAGTTTGTGTTTGTTTATTTGTTTGTTTTTCAGAGAAGCTGAGAGTATCATTGATATGTTCATTTAAATATATTATTTCAGTTAGCCTGTAAATTTCTAGCTTGTCTGTAAGACTGTTACCTCATTGAAAGAATAGATATTGTATTCATATTTTCATCCTATTAGCTTTTAGCACATATGGAAAAGAATTAAGTAGGTGTTAGAAAAAGCTTCTGGTGACATAAGAATTTTTTTTTTTTTTTTTTTTTTTTTTTTTGAAGTATAATCCTAAATTTCCTATCTCTCTGTAAATAGGTGAGGTCCCAAAGTATCTGGTCCAGGTATGGCTACTTTGAACCACACTGGGATTAACCATAAAGTCTTTCACTTGCTCGGCATCCCTGGGCTAGAGGACCAGCACATGTGGATTTCCATCCCCTTCTTCATTTCCTATGTCATCGCCCTGCTTGGGAACAGCCTGCTCATCTTCATCATCCTCACAAGGCACAACCTCCATGAACCCATGTACCTCTTTCTCTGTATGCTGTCTGGTGCAGACGTTGTCCTCTCTACCTGTACAGTACCTCAGGCCTTGGCCATCTTCTGGTTCAGTGCTGGGGAGATCTCCCTGGGCCGCTGCATCACTCAACTCTTCTTCATCCATTCCACCTTTATCTCTGAGTCAGGGATCTTGCTGGTGATGGCATTTGACCGCTACATTGCCATATGCTACCCACTGAGATACACCACTATTCTAACAAACAGCCTAATTGGGAAAATTGGCATGACTGTCTTTCTCAGAAGTTATGGCACAATTTTCCCCATAATATTTCTTGTGAAAAGACTGACTTTTTGCAGAAATAGCATTCTTCCACACACTAGTTGTGAGCACATTGGCTTGGCTAAGTATTCCTGTGATGACATCCATGTGAACATCTGGTATGATTTTTTTGTCCTAATGTCAACAGTGGTCTTAGATGTTTTGTTAATTTTTATTTCGTATATGCTTATTCTTCGTGCCGTCTTCCACATCCCTTCCCAAGATGCTCGCCACAAAGCTCTGAACACATGTGGCTCCCATGTCTGTGTCATCATCCTCTTCTATGGGCCTGGCATATTCTCAGTCCTCACTGAGCGGTTTGGAAGCCACATCTTACCCCATATTCACGTCCTGTTGGCCAATGTCTGTATTCTTGCTCCACCAATGCTGAATCCCATAATTTATGGGATCAAGACCAAACAGATACGGGACCAGGTGATTCATGTGTTGTTTCCAAAAGTAATATGACTTTGAGAATGGAAAGCAAACTACTATTTTCTCAACATTTCTAGTCATATTTGAGATGGGCTTTAGCAGCCCCTGTAGGAGGATAACAACTGAGACAAGATAAATAGCTCAATGAGTTTATGTTTCAGGAGCAAGTCCATTAGGGAAGCTTTGGGGCATGCTTTTTAGGGTTTCTAGTCAACAATAAGGAGCTCTGGTGACACAGCAGTTAAGGCACTCAGCTTCTAACTGAAAGGTCTGTGGTTGGAACTCACCATCTACTCTATGGGAGAAAGGTGAGGCAGTCTGCTTCCATAAAGATTTACAGCCTTGGAAACACTATGGGACAGTTCTACTCTGTCCTATAGGATCACTGTGAGTCAGAATCAACTCAATGGCAGTGGAGTTTGGTTTTGGTGAATCAATAATAAAAAGTCAATTTCTGAGGGCTCACTGAACTTTCTCACTCAGAGTCTGAGAAATAAGTTTACCTTTTTAATTCAGTTCTAGCTCTAAAATCCCAGACAGGTATTTAGAAAGAGATGAACTGTGGAGAACCGCTGAGCTATTCTTTTCTGTTTGGTTTCATACCTCGATGTAATGAACTAGTCCCCATTCTTATCTACCTTAGGACATTGCTTTATGTATCTCCCCTCTGTCTTTTCTACCATCAAATTTTTATTTTTCACAAGCTTATTTCAATCTGCACACATTATGTTATTTTTCCTATCTAGAGGAAGAAAGAAAGGAAAAGAGGAAGGAAGGAAAACTTATTGTACTCAAAATCCCCTTTGGTTGCATGCTCTTTCTTTGCATTACAGTAAAACTCTTTGAAAGAGCTGTTTATGTTAGTATTCAATATCTTCGTCCATATTTTTCTTGATCAAGTCATACTTTTTCCTACACCGTTACATTGCCTGTCACACTGGCCTCTACACTGTTGAATCCAGTGATCAGTGCTCAGTTTATATCTTGCATGTCACATCAGCAACATTTGATCGAGTTGACTGTACCTCAGACTCCATTTGGTGGATTTTCCTCATCTCCTTGACTTTTTAACACTGAAATTCCCAGGACTCACTCTTTGACCTTCTACTCTTCTCTATCTGAAATCACTCTCCGTTTCTAGAGCTGGATTCTGACCAGGGTTATTTAACTCCAGGGCTATAGACATTTGGAGACAGTTGATTCTATTGTGAGGTTTACCCTGTGCATTGTAGTATGCTCAGCAGCACCCCTGCACTGTACCAATCAGATGCCAACATCGCTACTCTCCTCCAGTTGTGATGATCAAAAATATCTCCAGACAGTGCCAAATTTCTCATGGGCAGGGCAAAATCACCCCTGATGAGAAGAACTGCCTTAGACCCATCAACATGCTAAGAATTTCCAAGTGTGTATCTCCATCCTCTAACCTGACTTCTAGACTAACCCTTCTAATTTCATACTTAGCATATCTATGTGGACAACTACCAAGTATCTCAGACTTAACATGTCCAAAATTGAGCTCCTTATCATCAAGCTTCCTCCTGCAGCAGCCTTCTCATGTCATTTAAAGACACCTTCATTAACTCAATCATTCGGGCTCATATTCTTGGAATTATGTTCAGCTCTGTTTCTCTCTCTCCAATGCCTTCCAAAAAGCCCTGGTGGCTCATTGACTGCTAACCAAGAAGTTGGCAGTTCAAACCCCCAGTTGCTCCTGGGAGAAAGATGTGGCAGACTGATTCCACAAAGATTTACAGCCTTGGAGACACTATGGAGCAGTTCTTCTCTGTCCTACAGGGTCACTAAGATTCAAAATCTACTGGATGGCAGTGAGTTTGTGAGTTGGAATGCCTTCCAAATAGTTTTCCTACTACTCCTTTTCCATCACCCTCCACAGTCTGTTAATTTAACAGAGAAGTTTAGAATGATTTCCTAAAATGTAGGTCAGATCTTCTCAATCTTTGTCTCAAGCTTTTGCCAAAGACACTCAGAGTAAACATCATAGTCCTTAGTAAGAGCTACATGCTCAGTATGATTCTTCCCATAGCTCTTCTTCCAGTTCCCTCTTTCATTCTGCCCCAACCACACTGGCCTTTTTTCTATTTCACAAATATGACATAGATACTTCCCCCTTGAGGTCTCTATACTTGCTGTTCCCTCTGCTGGATTCTTCTGTGGGCAGATATCTGCATGATTTTGTGTTTTGCCTCCTTTAGGTCTTTGTTCAAATATAACTTTTTCAAGGAGACAATCTCTGACCATCTTATTTAAAATGGAATTTTCTACAACATCTCACTGCCTATCCCTTTTTTCACTTTATTTTTCTTCAAAATATTTATCATCATCTATTGTTGCTGTTGTTAGGTGCCATTGCATTGGGTCCAACTCATAGTGACCTTATGTACAACAATAAAACAAAGCTCAATCCTGTGCCAGTCTCACAGTATTTGCTGTGCTTGAGCCATTGTCGCAGCCATGTGTCAATCCATCTCGTTGAGGGTCTTCCCCTTTTTAATTGACCCTCTACTTTACCAAGCATGTTATCTTTCTCCAGGGACTGGTCCCTTCTGACAACATGACCAAAGTACATAAGACAAAATCTGGCCATTCTCACTTCTGAGGAGCCTTCTGGCTGTACTTTCAAGACAAATTTGTATGTTCTCCTGGCAGCCCAAGTACTTTTGAGTATTCTTTGCCAAAACCACAATTCAAATGTATCCATTTTTCAGTCTTCTTTATTCATTGTCCAGCTTTCACATGCATATGAGGCTACTGAAACTACCATGGTTTGGGGCAGATGCACCTTAGTCTTCAAAGTTACATCTTTGCTTTTAAATACTTTGAAGAGATCTTTTACAGCAGATTTACACAGTGCAGTACATCATCAGATTTCTTGACTGCTGCTTCCATGGGTGTTGATTGTGGATCCGAGTAAAATTAAATCCCTGACAACTTTAATCTTTTCTCATTTATCATAATGTTGTGCTTACTGGTCCAGTTGTAAGGATTTTTGTTTTCTTTATGTTGAGATGTAATTAATTCATACGGAAGGCTGTTGTCTTTGATGGTCATCAGTAAGTGTGTCAAGTCATCTTCACTTTCGGCAAGCAAGGTTGCACCATCTGCATATAAGAGATTATTGATGAGTCTTCCTCCAATCCTGATGCTACATTCTTCTTCATCCATCCATCTTCTTGGATTATTTACTCAGCATACAGATTGAATAAATATGGTGAAAAGATATAATCCTGATGCACATCTTCCCCAATTTACACTATTCAGTATCTCCTTGTTCCGTTTGAATGATTGCCTCATGGGCTATTTACTGGTTCCTCATTCGTAAGTGTTCTGGAATTTCTGTTCTTCATAATGTCTTCCATAATTTGTTGTGATCCACACAAATACCTTTGCATAGTCAATAAAACACATGTAAGCATCTTTCTGGTATTCTTGGCTTTCAACCAAGATCCATCTGACATCAAAAATGATATTCCTCATTCCACATTCTCTTCTGAATCCAACTTGAATCACTGGAAGTTCCTTGTCAATAACACTGCTGCAACCGTTTTTGAATTATCTTCAGAAAAATTTTATTTTTGTGTGATTTTGATATTGATCAATAATTTCCACATTCTGTTGGATCACCTTTCTTTGGAATGGGTACAAATATGGATCTTTTCCAATCAGTTGGCCAAGTAGCTGTCTTTCAAATTTCTTAGCATAGATGAGTGAGTGCCTCAGCACTAGTTTTCTTTCAATTTCTGGAGCCTTGTTTTTTGCCAATTCCTTCAGGCCACGTTGGGTTTATTCCTTTATTACCATTGGTTCTTGATCATATGCTACCTTCTGAAGTGGTTGAACATCGACCAATTCTTTTTGGTATAGTGGCTTTATGTATTCCTTCCATCTTCTTTTGATGCTTCCTGCATCTTTTTACATTTTGCCCTTAGAACCCTTCAATATTGCAACTTGAAGCTTGAATTTTTTCTTCTGTTCTTTCAGCTTAAGAAATGCCAAGCATGTTCTTCCCTTTTGGTTTTCTAATCCCAGGTCTTTGCACATTTCATTATAATACTTTACTATGTCCTTTTGAGCCACCCTTTGAAATCTTCTGTTCACATCTTTCGTTTAATCATTTCTTTCATTGGCTTTGAACACAGCTACTCTGTGCTCAAGACCAAGTTTCAGAGTCTTTTATGATATCATCTAGCATAGTGCCTAAGGCACTTGACTGCTAACCAGACGGCTGGTGGTTCAAACCCACCAGCCACTCCTCGGAAGGAAGGTTGGGCAATCTATTTCCGTAGTGATACCGCCTCAGAAACCCAAGGAGGGGTCGCTATGAGTCGGGGCCGACTCGACGGCATATAACAACAACAACAAAAAAAAAGCATGTAATATCACTCTCCCATCTCTGCCCACCAGCAACCTCAGCATACACCCTTTGCTTCCCAACCTGCATATATTGTCATCATCCAGCATACAATAATGAGGATGCTAATGATGATGATGATGACGATGAAGCAGAGCATTAGCAGAGATTATGTTCCAAGATTTACTTACTTTGTTTATATTCCAACTTCTTTTTTTTTTTAGTTTTTATTGTGATTTGGGTGAAGCTTTACAAAGAAAATTCATTTTCCATACAGCAGTTCACATACACTTTGTCTCATGACATTGGCTGCAATTTCTCACAATACAACAGCTCTCTTCCCACTTCTTCCCCATAGTTACCTCTTCCCTGTGTCCGTCCTTCCCATGCACTCCCACCCTTCGAGCTGTCTCCCTATGCATACACATATAACAAAACTCATTCCAACAAAACTTCTATTCTCCCATGATTATTCTCTCCAAGGAGCATATCTACTTAGTGTAAATGTTTGGTGCATATGCCTGTCTTTTTTTTGGCCAGAAGCCACAAGTGTGGGTTTGATTCCAGTCCTGAAGGGCAGGTTGGGCCATAGTCTCAGTGGTCCCACCAGGCTCTATCAGACCAGCAAACCTGCCCCCCCTTTTTTTATCTTTATGATTTT